TCACCATACAACAGAGTACAACCAACAAGTGTAATACGTACATATAAACTATCAAATACATAAGCAATGTGTTAAAATATATGAACACATAAGCATTTGTGGAGTACATCCCCTATCTCCTCCCACACACTAGAGTACATCCCCTTTCTCCTCCCTAACAATTTATACATATATAATGTACAATAACATTTCATTACATACAATGTTCAATCAACACAGGTGTAATGCATACACGACAATTCAACACAACCATGTCATCCTCCACCGATGACCAAGGACAAAACCTATAGATGCATGATTTTAGTATATCTATTATAAAGACTTAACTCTCATGAGATCTTAAATCCAACAACAATTTTCCCCAAATGTGCGTATTCAACACTCAAGATACAACAATTCAATTCTCATATTCATTTTCTAAAACTCACATAGAGTTAACACTTCATTTCCCATTTCCAAGATCGACTTCCAGGATTTTCCAATTCCAAAACCCTATTTTCATTTCATAAAACCAATACCGTTTTTCTCATAATTTTCCAAATCAATTATGCAAATTAATTCATAATAGTAAATTAGGGCTTTCTCCCTCTTTCTTAACATTGACCCAAAAAGGGGCTCAAATACCAACAACAATTAACAATAATCTCATTTGAGACCCAAAATACATATGCATTGGCCCAAAGTACAAAACCCCTCTTTTAATTTATCAAATCAAATATAAATTAGGGCTTTTTCTTCTATCAACATTAATATACTAATTTACACCCCAATTAGTCCAAATCACCATCAATGATAACAAACCCATTTTGAAACAACCAACCCTAGGTTCACCCCCATGGTTTTCAAACAAACCCAACATGGATATAATTTTCATGCAATACAAAACTACCACATGTCTATCTATAGACGAAGCATTGTAAAAGAACAAGGAAATCCCTACCCCAAATTTGGAGCTCAAATGGAGAAGATGAAGAATTTCGAAATGCTCCAAACCTTAAGATTTTCGGATCAAAATGAAGCCCACGCAACCCTCTAACTTTCTTACAAAGAGATGAGGGTAGGAACACCCAAGAACTAGATCAATCCCAAGAGAGAAGTTATATTTTAGAGAGAGAGGCTCTCAAAATAGGGTTTAGAAAAGTAAGAGAGAGAAAGGAAATGTGAAAAGTGATTTAAAATCACCCAGCTGCCAACTGATATACGTATGACCCACTCGAGCGGAGAATAGGACGCTCGAGCGTCAAACACAAAAACTGGACCCGCTCGAGCGCCAAGACACAAAAACAAAACACACCCGCTCGAGCGTAGATTACACTCATCCAGCACTTTTACAGAGTTCGAACACCTGCTCGAGCGCCAAGATACCCGCTCGAGCGTGACCCGCTCGATCGTAAGAATATCCACTCCAGTGTGAAAAACACATCTGCAGAAGTTTTGCAGACGCACAAGATACTGCAAGTATGCGGACTCCGCTCGAGCGCAAATGGACCCGCTCGAGCGGATCACCTAAAACCTGGGCAACAACACTTGAGACCAAAGCTCAACTTACCTGTTCCAAACACGCACAAAACATTTCTAAACTAACTTACTAAGAGTTAAAGGATGGAAATGCAACACATACAACAACCATCAACCACGGAACCGTGTCCGGAATAAAAAAAAAAGAAAGGGGAAAACCGGGATCGCTATAACCAATCAAAATGATCAAACTTTGTATGCAAATGCTGAGGGATTTCTAGTTATTTGTTTTGTGCCATTATAGTATGTCCATAATTCACTAAAAAAAGGCACAAATACATCATGGACTAAAATTCTATAGTGAAATTTAATGTAAAATCCTCCACCACTTCATGGCTACTCACATAATTAAAAAATAATAATAATACTTGAAGGAATTTCTTAATCACAATTGTCTTAAAAAATCAGACAAATTTACATTAAAATTAAATCTATTCAACAGACAACATAACAGAGATTACAGAGAGAATATAAGCATAAAAACTAAAAATGGGAATGTGTGATTCAGTAGTGTTGTTTCCATTCCACAAAGCATGGGACAAAGTGGTGCAAGCTCAACTGATTCAAATAAAAAAAAAAACACAAGAAATGCACAACAATCAGCAAATTACTATGAAGAATAAAGAGGTAGATATCAAGAGAACTTCAACAACCTTAAAGGAACCTAGAAACTTTTCCTTTTTTACTTTGCCTATTTCATTGTTCACATGTGCACAAAAGAAGTAACTAAATCATGTCTTAGTAAGAAAGAAAAGGGAAAAAAAAAAAAATCACATATACAGCTTTGATCAATTCCCCATACTGCTGCCTTGTAGTCTTCCCTTACACATAGACACGTAATTTCTTTGGAAAACGAGGACGGATGGAAAAATCAAAGTCATCTCTAAAAGCTATCAACCTAATAACTTTTTCATTCGAGTAAAAAACATGAGCCCCATTGAGCCACAAGCCACACGTATGTTGTTAATTCGAATTACTGTCAAGTCTATACTGCAACACATTAAAGTGTTAAAATAATGATGGTCAGGATTAATAAGAAGAGGAAATGCCTTCCTCCTAGGTTTAGCAACTTGCCTCATTACAAAAGTATAATTGAGTTGGTTAGGGTGAGTTATAGAAAATATTTCCATCCCAATGTCTATACAATTTTTACTACCAAATTTACAGAATTCATAAGAATGAAGAAGCCTCGTATCCATATATCCTTGGTTTTCAAAATAGCTAGGTCATACTAGAGCACTCTAAAAAATACCTCAGCTTCCTGAAAAGCTTTACCTTTCCTACGACGTACCGTTACAACATTAGCCTCAAGTACCAAATGTGCGCATGTCAAAATATATCCATATCTATTTAACACCACACCGGTACCGTACTCGCTACCATCCTCCTCCTCCGACGATGACTATCTTGGAATAATCGGCCGTGATGATACAACAACAACCACCTTTTTCATCCGGTTGTACAAAATCTCTCGACGTTGTTGGATTGGCATTGGCATTGGCATTGGTGTTAAAAGTGGGAGATGGGTGTATACCGGTTGTGATGGTATACAAATAGAGGAATTAATTGAATAAACACTCTTTTTATTCAATCACAAACAAATTATACAAAACAGAGTTCTCTCTCTATAAACTCTCATACTCTCTACTCTCTTAGAATTCTTCTTATCTGGAGATATTGGGTGTGTTTGGTTTGTGTTTTGAGATAAATTTAAAAAAAAAAAAGATTTGGGCAAAGAGTTTAGAAATTTTTTTGGTTTGTTTGGTTGTATATTTTGAAAATAGTTTTGGAGTTTGGGAGTTTGGGATGATTTGATATTTTGTTGTAGTTGAGTAGATGTGTGTGAGAGAAAAAGTGATTGAGAATGAGGGATGAGAGAGAAAAAATGATTGATTGATGTGTATGAGAGAGAGTGATTTTGGAAAACAATTTCAAAAAATTTGAACCAAACAAAATTTTGAAATTTTTTTTCAAAAATTGTATCTTGAGATACAAACCAAATAAACTTGTTGTGTTTCTCCCTGGAGATTACATTTCTTCTTCCACTCTATCTAAAACAATCTATTAACCCTCTATTTATAGACTCCACAATCGTGTGTAAATTGTGTGCTACAATGTTTCTTCAAAGCCAGGCTTTATCAATAGAGTTTCCTTGAAGCTTCCACTTTTTTCTAGCAGCTTCCACTTTCTTCCGGCAATTTCTATTTTCTTCTTCATTTTGAGCTTCTCTTCTTCAACTTGGAATCCTCTCGCAGCTTCTTCTCTTTTATGGAATTCACCATCTTTAAACTCAAATTGAGTTTGTTCTTCCAACAATTGGCATTGCTGTCCTCCTTTGTTTCGTCCTTTGACTTCGCATGCGTTTACTTTTCATGGAGAGGATGAAACTTCTTTTCATGGCAGTGTTGTATGAGATTTCTCCCTCATCTTCTTCATCTAAAAAGGGGTCTTTAATGCAGGGCAATATTCCAATGCATAAGACAACCAGATTCAATCAAAACCCTAAATCTAATGAGGACAATTACAGATCTGAAGAAAGAACGAACGAACGAATGAACTAAGATTTCAAAATGAGGACGAGGTGTGATACAACTCAACTCATCATTTGTTGTGTCTATTTTGCGGAAGAGCTCTCACCACTATTGCCTTTGTTTAAATTATTTGAATCTGAATCATTTCATTTATTTTTAAGGTTTTATTGCGTATACAATTCATAAATTAATAAATCTATTTAATAATTAATACTATTTTTATTTTATCGTATTTGTCTCTAACAAATATATTTTGTAAAATAAATTATTTATTATTTCAAAGACAAACGTGATAAAATAAAAATATTATAGTGTAAATATTCCATAATATCAACATTTACACGTCAATGTGAACATTCACACTAAAAAATATGAATGTTTATATCCCCAAGTTGCTAAGCGTTCAAAAAACATTTTTAAGGATAAAACATCTTAAATATGATAATTATGATTTAGTGGATCAAATGTCCAAATAATAAAAAATTGATCCCTTCCATACTCCATTTTTTTAGACTCACAATGATAATCTAAACCGCTCATCTCGTAATTCCAACAATTTATATGAGTTATGCAAGAAACTAATTTCATTGGATATTACAAGATGTATGAATAAATTGTATCTTATTTTTTAAAATGGATGGCAGCTATGAGTTTAATCCTGAACCTTTCGTTTTATAAAATAAAAGAATGATTTATTCATATATTTATCGATATCTGATGAAACTGATTTTTTATATAGATGATTTTTACTTTAAAATTACGATATAAAAGTCTTATCAATAAAATTTCCATTTATTCGCAGATTTAGATAATCCATGTAAGCCTAAAATGGAACTAAAAATGAAGTATGAAAGAATATAGTGTCTTTGGGCGGCTTGGGATGATTCTAAGACAATTCGTGTTCTTATTTGTACAGCGCATTTTATAGGGCTATTAGTTGCAGAAGAATGGATGTTGGATTGGGTGATTATACAATTTTATGGGCATCCTAATGTTAATCAAAGGTCAGTTATATGGAATCAAGTTTCGAGTTTTATTGCAACCATTGCTCAGCCAATTGTTATGATTGGAGATTTTAATCAAGTTTTGTGTATTTATGAAAAACATAGTAAGGTAGGTAGACCTATTCAAGGGGCTAAGGTTCTCATGAATCTTATAAATGATCATGGATTTGTAGACTTACCTTCGTCTGGGGTTCGTTTTACTTGGTCCAACAATCGGAGAGGTCCGGATGTGTCTAGTGAGAAACTTGACAGAGCAGTGGCTACATCAGGATGGATGCAACAGTTTCGCCATGTGGTTCTTCTTGCTCTTCCTATTCAGAGATCAGATCATATGGATATGAACCCTGTACCTGGAAAATATGGTAAATCACATTTTGAATATAAATCTCCCCCAAGTTAATGAACATGACCAGTTAGTGTGGAGGCCAACTAAGGATGGTCAATATTCAGTTAAATCTGTCTTTTTTCTTGCTATGAAAGAGGGACTGACGGTACATCATTCGGGTAATTGGGTCTTTAGTGGTGTTGGAAGAAGTTGTGGAAGTTAAGGATGCCTCCAAAATGGGCGTTTTTTATGTGGAAGATTTTACATAGAATTTTACCTGTTAAAAATTTTCTGATGCATCGCGGTGTCTAATCCTGTGTGTTCAAGGTGTGGAGTAGAAGAGAAAGCATTAGAACATCTTTGTTTTCAATGTATTTTCTCTAAACACATTTGGAGAGTTCTAGTCTTGGGTTTAATTTTGAAAACGGTGAGGAATGTTTGGTTCATGATTGGCTGGGACAGTGGTTCGAAAATGCACCAGATGACGATGCATTGATTGAATCTGTTAAGGTGTTGTGGGGAATTTGGCATCATAGGAATAGAGCAACTTTTGAGCATGTAGTGGAAGATCCTGGTTATGTTTTGAGATATATTAGTTCTCTTCAGGTGGTGCATGAGCAAAGTAGAACTTTTAATGTTAATGATGCGCCTTTGTAAAGCAGCAAAATGGGTGGAGCTTCCACTGTAAATTCTTTTGTTATAGTTGATTCTGTAAATTGGCGTCCACATCCTTCGAAGGCAGGCACAGCATGAGTTGGATTGAATAGCAAAGGAAATCAAATAGTGTGGAAGAAGTTTTCTTTTGTAGCATCATCTGCCTTAGTTGCTGAAGCTCACGGACTCTTTATTGCTTATCCAGAAAATGTGGAGTAGTAGCAAAATGGAATGGGACATAGCAAATATATTGCTGGACTTATGTTATTTTTGTTCCAAGTTAGATTATGTTTATATTGCTAAAGTCCCTTAGACTTCACGTAACAATGGCTCATGTTTTGGCTGAAGCAGCCTTAGTAGAAGGCTGAACAATGTGTAATTCCCTGTTGAATATAAATGATATTATCTTCTGTTTTCTCAAAAAAATAAAAATAAAAAAATAAATAATAAATAAAATAAATTGATAGATCACGTTAAGATTATGTTTAACATTTACTCATATATTTTTTTTATCATCAAATTTAAATGTAATAAAAGCAGTACTCCAATCCTATCATCAAAATGATATCAAATAAAAGTTCTAAATTTTTCATTAAATCGAGAAAACATTTAACCTTTCAGCAAATTTCAAAATTGACCATTGGTGAACGACTGACCAAATGGGTAATCAGGGGAACAATTGACCGGATTTTGATCAAAATTTACTCTATGTCGGACAACTGACAAAATTGTTGAGAACAATTGAAGTGCATCATACCAGATTAAATTTTTCATTAAATGTTTACTTAAATTTGACGAACAATTAAAGTTCTAAGAAAGCTCACTTAAAAAGAGCTCCTTACCAAAAAATTTTTTGGGTGCAAGCCCCCTATCAATTTGAACATAAGATTTACCACCCCTTTTTAGTATTCACATTGAATTTATAAGTTGACATTTATTTGATATCTTTTGACACTTCTATACTGTGTTTGGTTAGAAGATTTGGAAAGGAATTTGAAAATAGAAAGAGAAAAGATGTGTAAAACTAAGTAAAATATAACCCTTTCCAAATCCTCCAACCAAACAGCGTTAATTTCTTTACTTTCATAGCTAAACACTTTAAACAACCTCCAAATTTTAGTCATAGAGTGAGTTTACATAATAATTTACTAAATACTCATAAATATATTTTTTTTGAACAGAAGTACTAATAAATATGATTATATAAGTTTAAATATAAAAAGCCTCCAAATAAAATTTCGCTTTTAAGCCTCGGGAAAACTTGAGCCGGCCCAAGAAAACACCACTGCACAAAGAACATATTGTTGACATTGATATCGAATTCTTCCAAACGTGTATTTTTCAGGTACTGGCCATTTGAGAAGACAAGTTACATGATACAAAATCAGAATGAAGCATAAAAATTGTAATCATAAAGTATAAAACCTCCCTACCCATAAAAAAAAAATGCTAATAAAACCACTTCATGTCAGCGAAATGATTCCTCAAAAATTAAAAATTAAAAATTCTACAATACTAAAAAAAGAAGAATCATCTTACTCTTCTAATAAATCACTATAATTTATCGCAAGGACTGCCCACTTACACTTTAATGTGGGTTAAAATTTTCCCACCATGTTTAAAAAACAAGGGTAAATTTTACACGGACTAGCACTGCAAATTTTCACAATTTCAATATGTAGAGAGACTGTTTCGACAGTGTGCAGAGGACATTCTAACCCATATTAAAATGCAGTAGGATCGATGCAATTTACCCTACATCGCAAATATAAAGTTAAAACAATCGAAAGAACCAAACAGTTTGGTTTGACAAAAAAATCTCATAAATTCACACCCATTTTAAAGATTGATATAAATATATATGTAAACATATCAAAAAGCATACAAAATATTTGCCTATCTACTTTATCTGCACTAGTTTCATCAACAAACACTTCTAGATACAAACGGGCAGCACTTGATTCTCTAATCACAATCACCTCCACAGTTTTCCCAACCTTTTTCCATATTATATTATAGAATAGATACCGGCAAGAGAAAGATTAAACAAACAATAGGAGAATTATGCAAATGGTAAATGAGCAATAGTAGGAAACCAAACTAAAAAGAAAAATATTAACAAGGTTCATCGTGAAAGAGCAAAATAGTTATTGGCAGCCAATAGACAACAGAGGCATCCAATAACAATAATACTTGGACCCCCACAATTTATGACCCCCACAACTCCCAATTGATTTATAACCACTCATTTTTTTTTCTTTTCTTTTTTCCCCCCCTCTCTCTCCTCCCTCTCTCTCACAAAAAGTGTGGCGGTGCTGGGGGTGTTGACACTCAGCCACTTAATGGGTTCCACAATTAACTACTTTAACAACTTATCACAAGACTGGGCACCTATATAGGAAGCTTTTTGCCCCCAACCACTCGAACCAAGACAGCTCATACGAAATTTATCATTTGTCAACAGTGTTACAATGAATACCTGATGTGTAATTGAAATCTATGTTACGAAGACATGGACAAAATTCCCTGATTGTGATCAACCACCTAAAAATTTCAATTCAATTGGTATTTTGTTTGGAAAGCCATGCTATACAAGCCTAGCCAGGGTTTCCTCTTTTTTTTTTGATCAGCAAAAAAAGCTTTATTGATATAAAAACACAAAACATGCATAAATACATCAACAAAGCGGGGGAGTGCACTAAGCGTCATAGCTAACCTTAACGATCCCAACTAGATTGGCACCGCAAAGGAAGCACAATCATTTGCCAGCACTAGCCCAAGATTGGTGAGAAACCAATCAGAAGCAACCAAAGCAAGATAAAGAGAAAAAAAAAAAAAACAACAATATATCCATCATAGCAACAACAACCAATGTAGCTGCAACTAATCAACCAATGCAGCAGCAGCAATCAACTACAATCAAGCAACCAATGCAGCATCAGCAGCAGTCTACCAGACCAGCAACAGTCTACTCCAACCAAGACACTACCAGCAATAGCATTATAACTCCCCTCCTACTATCTGCACAACACCATACAACAGCAGTCTACTAGACCAGCAATTAACACCATACAGCAGTAGTCTACCAGACCAGCAGCAATCTACCCCAACCAAGACACTAGCAGCAATAGCATTACAACTCCCCTCCTACTATTTGCACAAACCAGAGCAGCCTCCTACAGCAGCATGCCAACCAACAGCCTACATCAGCAGGCCTCTGAGCTACAGCATACAGAAGGCCAAACAACAACATACATCAGCAACATACAACAATAAACCTATGTCATGCAACCTCTCACCTGCTTCAAGTTTGCTACAATATCGTGCACTGAGTAATTCACTCCCTTAACATTTGACTTAACCCATAGTGCAATTCTAATTTTCAACAGCTCCACCATCTGTGCAAAATCAACATTACCATTGTTAAATAAGCATTCATTCCTAAGTTTCCATAAGGACCATAGCATGGCCAAAGGGAAAACCTTCCATATATTTAACTCCTTTCTAAATTTCATACCAGACCACCATTGAAGCAAAACATCCACAGAACCTGGCGTCACCCACTGCACCTCCCACCAATTAACCAACTCAGACCATAATTTCCATACCAATGGACATAAAAGCAACAAATGGTTAATGGTTTCTACCTCTGCTTTGCAAAATACACACAGGGAGTTGACATTGACAGGTCGAGCTCCAATCCTTTGCATAAATTCTGTGATTTTTATTCTCCCTTTCCAAGCCAACCAACTGAAGAACTGAGCCTTTGGGGGTGCAACATTTCTCCATAGGAACTTTGAAATGTTAATCATGGATCCATTAACTAACTCCAACCTTTTCCATACTGAAGCCACAGAGAGCATTCCTGAATTATTGGCCCTCCACATGCAGTTATCTTCAGTCATAGGATTTAGATTAGAAGCCTCTGCTAACAATACATTGAGCCTTTGAACTTCCTCGTCCTCCCAAGCTAAGAGTGATCTTCTAAATGCCAACTTCCAATCACTGCCCTGCCCTTTCTGTTGATAGAAAAACTTCAAGGAACCTTCCTTCTCCACTGATAAACTAAACAATCTACGAAACTCATCCCTAAGACTTATATCATTGAACCACCTATCCATCCAAAAATGTATCCTCTCCCCATTTCCCATGATAATCCTGAGATTTTGGGAGAAAAACTCAATCGCTACACTGTTTGATGAGGCTAATGATGCAATATCTTTCCACACTGTAGATACCATTGCATCTGTCACTAATTCTGGTTTCCACCTGCCTCCAAAACCACCATATCTGCTACATACCACCATTTTCCATAATGACTGATGCTCTCGACCATACCTCCACCACCATTTTATTAATAAACACACATTAACATCACTGAGACTTCTCACACCCAATCCCCCATGAGCTTTACTTTTGCA